AAACCCTAAAAGATGTTTTTACTATTCTCATGAGATTCATTGTGTGTGTGTTTGTTTCAGATCAGTAACTACCAGGGTCTGGCCCGGGTGGTGGTCCAGCTGGTGACGGCGCTGACCCCCCTCCCTCAGCTTCATGCTCACAGTCTGGTGGGAAAACAGTGCGACAAAGGGATCTGCATCGCCGACCTCCAGCCCAAAGACTCCACCATCAGGTCTGCAGGCCTCACACAGTACAGTAAACCAGTACAGACCCAGTAAACCAGTAGAGCTGTCAAGTGTGAGGCTCACAGGTGTGTTTGTTTTGTCAGTTTTCCAAACCTGGGCATCCTTCATGTGACGAAGAAGAACGTGGCGAAGACTCTGGAGGAGAGGATGATCGAGGCCTTCAGGATGGGATACAATTGTGGAGTCTCCATCCACCACGAGATCGACGCCCTGCAGGGGGAAGTCCGGGTCCCCCGAGAACTCACCGGTTAGTGCTCAGTGTGTGTGTCCGTCCTTGTACCTGTATCTTTGTGAGGACCCATTCAAGTTTCAGACCTTAAAAGGAAACATTGACACATGAGGACATTTTTGTTAATTAGGCATTTTAAAAAAACTGAGGAAAGTTTTAGAAAATGAAGTGGGATCGTATCTGTTAAATATTATCGTCTCTGCTCTTTTACATTTTTTGAGACTTGATTATCATTTGTGTTTCTATCATCTTATCTGAGTAACCGTCCACCATTTTCTTTATTTTCTGTCCCGGTCTTATTATTGTTATTGTTTCTCATGTTGTTTTAAAATCCATAAAGTATGCCTGTCTCTCTCTCTGCCTTCAGACCACCAGCGCAGTGTGATCAGCAGTGCGGCGGCTCTTCAGGCTAAAGAAATGGACCTCAGTGTGGTGCGGCTCATGTTCACGGCTTTCCTCCCCGACAGCGACGGAGGGTTCTCCAGAAGACTCGAGCCCGTTGTGTCCGAACCGATCTACGACAGCAGTGAGTCCGAACCCTGTTACAAATCCATCTCTCTCATTTACTGCTGGAACTGGTTTAAAGTCCGTCCATGATGGGTTCAAACGGTGCGACTGAAGTGAGTTGATATTTATAACTCTGCCAGCTGTGTGGAAACTATCCGCTGTGTGGGCACTACCTGAGAGTAAAATCTGTTTTATTGATTTAGAATATATAAAACCACAATGAAACATGAACCAAGTTTCATTTCCCTGCTCAGTTTCATATTCGACTCTGATGTCTGAACCAGCATGTTGCTCCCTGGCAATATTCCCGGTTGGGTCCCTGCTCTTACGCTAGTCTCCCCCCGGCCTTCCAGCTCCCAGTCCGGGAACAGACAGCTAATAGGGCTGCTAACTAGCTAATAGCAGCTAGTACAGTTAGCATATGCAGCAGTGCAGCGGAGACTTCCTGTGTTACAAGAGAAAAGGTCCGTGTTGCAACAGTCCTCTGATCCTTTGGTCCCGGGGACGAGGAGCAGTCGACTATTTTAAGCAGCTCTGCCCAGTGTTTTATGGTTCTGATTGTGTTTTATTAGAGGACAGAAGTTTTAAAATGTCTGCTGCGAGCTGAGCTCTGATCCAAAGGACTGTGATGAACCAGTGCTGCTTACTGAACCATGATGGCTGGTATAACAGTCCAGTCACATGTTTGTTGCACTGATTGAATCTGTAGACTCAGCCAGTACCTGTGAGTTTCCAATGGCCTCAGTCAGTGCGCTTTTGTATTAGACGGTGACAGTGTCTCATTTTGTCCGGTACCCCTGTAAAGCCGTCAGAGAGCATGAGAATGGTGATGGTGTTAGTTTCCACTCTGTGTTTTCTGCAACTGTAGCTCTGGTTGTTGAGCTCTGGTATCACACCCTCTGCAGTCGACTCTTTCTCGACGAGGATTATTGTGAAGTCGTGTCAGGCCGCCTGGTTTCATTTCCCTCTTCCTGCTGGTTTGGTTTCCGTACACTGCAGCTTCCTCTCAGAGGACTGAAACCTGCTCAGCACTTCAGGATCCTTCTGAACTTTCACTCTAGATTCATACTCAAACTGGAGATTTCTGTTTGTTGAATCTCCTGCTTCCACTTTTTATTGAATGTTTTGTGAAAAGATTTTCTCTGTTCAGGTAGATGCTGCATCGTTCATTACAGGCACAGTCTGAAACAAATACACTGATATTTACTGAACATATACTAAACAGTCAGGAAAGGAAAGGTCATTTATTAGTCTTTAAAATGTAAAGGGTTAGTCCTCTGGAGAGCAAGAAGGAGATCTGACCAGACTAAAACATCTTTACTTGATATTTGACACATTTTCCAGTTTAAATGTCACAGTTTGATTCCTGCACTTTCTGGAAAACATGGAAATGAAGAGACTAGTTTTCCTGTCATGGAAACACCTGGAAATTAATTAAAATGACCAGATATCCTGGAAATGATCTCTGTTGTCCTACATATTTAGTTTGAAACTCGACCGTTGATGGGAACCTGCAGTATGACACTTCAGAGCAGAGTTGAGTCTATTTGTTCTGAAGCAGAATTCTCATAAAAAGCACAGTGGAAAAATATCTTGTTATTGTAATTCATAAAAACACTCAGTGATGTTAAGTGTTAAAGAAACACTTTCCGCTAAAGCGAATAAATGCAGAGTGTGTCATAAACTCTCACCTCCTACCTGTAATGAACCTGAGACACTTCATCATTAACCTGCGTCATTAAATAATTTACCAGTAGGTTTAGTATTGACATGTTTTTGAGCGAGTGCTGTCCTGTAGTGTCAAGAAAACTTCTGGAAAATGATTTCTTTAAGAGTGGGAACCCTGGTGGAACTTCAACTCCAGATCCTTGAGAAGGTTCCAGGAGTCCTTGAAGAACTTCTAGAGGTTGATGAGGACAAATTTAAACATAAGATTAAGATGTGGGGTTGAACAGCGTCCACTGACCGACCTGCTGTGTCTCTTTGTTCCCTCAGAGGCTCCCAACGCCTCCAACCTGAAGATCGTGAGGATGGATCGAACCGCTGGCTGCGTGAGCGGAGGAGAAGAGGTTTACCTGCTCTGTGACAAAGTCCAGAAAGGTGAGGCTAATGAATGATGAAGTGCTTTAATCCAAGAGCAGACTGATGTGACCACAGGTTTCGAAGGTTTGATTCATTGTGAATGAGTCGTTCTTTCTCTTCCACTGAATGTAACAGAAAAACCACATTTTCAGTTTAGATCAGCTCTTTCTCTCCTTTACAGTCATATTATGATTGTGAATGTAAATGAAGAACTAAACTGTTTAATCTCAGTGTTTATCAGCTCATATTGCCCCCTGCTGGGAGGTTTCTGAAATCCTCTTCACACTAAATCACACTTTATCAGTGATGTTTCTGAAGGTTCTTCATCATAATAAACTTTATTTATATAGTTTCTCTTAAAATCAGGTTTACACAGTGATTTAAAACACCAGGAATCAAACACTAACCAGAGCACCATCAGTAACATTATACAGAATAAACAATAATAGATACAACAATAATTATAGTGATATATTTATGTTTTTGGACTGTTTGTTAACCTTTGAAATCCACCACAGCCTAAATATTTTGAGATGTGTATTTATGGTTTCAGTGTATACTCTGCTGTTAACAGAGCTTCCTCTCTAACTATCAATAATCAGTAATGAGGAAGTTATTGAGGGGAAACTCTTAATGGCCCAGTAGTTGTAGAATAAGCCTTTAATATAAGTACTTTATAATGACTGATCCAAGAACCAACTCATAATCTACTAATATAATAAGCAGCGAGTTAATGGTGAAACATAATAAAAACAGTTGTTATTATCATATTGAATTGTAGTTCAGGACTCAAACTGTTTTCCTGGAGCTTTATTTGAATGCAGCTGATCTTTGGGGATCTGTGAGAGGTTTTTACTGGTCAGTTTTTTGTTCTCCTGGAGGAAGTCCAGCCTCAGGGAATTCCCCTCCGATATTTAAATCCCTCAGGAGGAAGAGACGGATTCAGGCTGCTTCAGGCCTGTCTGCTGCTGCTTCTTTGTTTTGGCTTGTTTGGCACAGAACCAGCAGCTGATCTGGACTCGCTGTAGTCCTCCAGAGGTCAAACACAGTCTACAGAGTCACACTTATAGAGGAGTTAAACTACAGTATCACTACTTCCTTTAATCATATATCATATCTCATTAATTTCTATGAAGAAAACTAAATGGATAAATTAAAATTATACATAATACAGAGACAGGATTGTATAAAAAATAAACAATCTGCTTGAGTTACTGCAGTTTTTTCCTCCACTATTTGGGTTCACTGTACATATCAGTTGCATTGAATATAACATGAAATATGAATAAAATCTGTCAGTCAGGGGTCGCCCCTTAAGAAAAAGGAACCACTGCCTTAAACATTTAAACTGTGTCTGCGTTTGTAGACGACATCCAGGTTCGGTTCTATGAAGAAGACGACTCGGGGTTGACCTGGGAGGCTCTGGGAGATTTCTCCCCGACCGATGTTCACAGACAGGTGAGTACGAGGGGTTTTAGCTCCTCCGGTTCCCTCTCCTCAGAGGTTTTGATGAGATGTCTAAAATAAAGTCTGTTACAAGCTTAAGAGATTATCGCCTTTTATTGTACGCCATACAATCCATCAGTGAATACCTGTGACTGAAGCTTCTGTGTGTCTTTGAAAAGACGGTTGCTAACGAGTGGCTAAAGCACTTCCTGTCTTTAATCACAAGATCTTTCAAGTCCTGTTTCATCATCAATAACATGTTTGATTAGGAAAGTAGTTTTAAAACCCTGGTGACGTGTTCCCTGTTGTTAACGTGTAACCGTAGCGATGTGTTCTCTGCCGTCAGTTTGCCATCGTATTCAAGACTCCGAAGTATCGAGACCAGAACCTGCAGAAGCCGACGTCCGTGTTCGTCCAGCTGAAGAGGAAGTCTGACAACGAGACCAGCGAGCCCAAACCCTTCACCTACCACCCTCAGATCATAGGTAGGTCAGGTAGCTCCACCCACAGGTCCTAGGCAGGTCAGGTAGCCCCGCCCACAGGTCACCTGGGTACATGCTCATGTGTATGTGTGTGTTCAGACAAGGAGGAGGTGCAGAGGAAGAGACAGAAGACGTTGCCGAACTTCCAGGACTTCAGCGGCCATGGAGGAGGAGGTCTGTACCGAGGAGGAGGAGGAGGAGGTCCTGCTGCAGGAGGAGGACCTGGCTCTGGAGGAGGAGGAGGTGGAGGAGGAGGTACAAATAAGACCTAAAACTTGAAATTTGGCTTCCTGTAAAGTGTGTATCAGCTGACGTTGTGGGGGTGTTTGATTTGTCCTCCAGCTTACTTCCAGGGCTTCACTACCTACAACTATGGCACAGGAGGTGGTGGGGGAGGAGGAGGAGGAGGAGGAGTAGGAGGAGGAGGTGGTGGTTTCTCCACAGGGTACTCAGCTGGTCTGGGAGGAGGAGGCATCAAACATGGTGAGAAATTACAACATTCAGTCTGTTGGGACAAAACGAGTAGAAAAAGTCAGGAAAAGAGACTTAGACGCTGTAATCACTTGTTGTTGTGTTATTGTTGTGTTAAAGCCGCTCAGGGCGACTCAGCAGACGACAGCAGTGACGATAACGATCCAGACGATGACTCGGGGTCAGGGGTCGTGCTGAGAGCTTCAGCCCAGCAGGGAGATCTGGAGGTGGGAGGGGTCAGTGGGGAGACAGGTACACATCAACTACTGCCGTCATAAAGCAAATAAAGGTCCAGTGTGTGTTTTTGAGATGTTAATAGAGTGTGTGTGTGTGTGGCAGACGAGCGGTTGGCTCAGGTGACCCGCAGACAGCTTCAGGCTCTCTTTCAGTACTCAGTCACAGGAGACTCAGCCTACCTGCTGGCTCCACAGCGCCCCCTGATGGACGCACAGGACGAGGACGGAGACACGTCAGTAAACTTTGAATGCGTCAGTTTGATTCGGTAACTTCTGGAAGAACTGAAATTAATGTATTCTCCATTTCCTGCCCTCTCCTCTCAGTGGGCTCCACCTGGCCGTCCTCCACAGCCAGCAGGAGGCGCTCAAGAGTCTGACTCAGGTCGTCTCTGCTCTGCCTGGACAGGAAGTTCTCAACATGAGGAACCACCTCTACCAGGTACTGAATGACACACACACACACACACACACACACACACACACACACACACACACACACACACACACACACACACACACACACACACACACACACACCTCTTCAATGTGTTCTTGTTTTGGCTGATTTAGACAGAAGGAAGGTTTTGGTTAAGGAATAAAGATGAGCAGGTGTCCTCACACACTCCCTACAATACTGACACTACTGATGTTCATATGTCTTGTATACTTTGGTTTAGTGTGAATTTTTGTTAATTTAATTTATTTTTGGGGGGGGTCATCACAATGAGCAAACACATTTAGGGAAATATTTAAGAGGCAGCTTCACAATAAGTGTTTAACCTCCTCCTCCATGTATCCCAGACGCCTTTGCACCTGGCTGTGATCACCCAGCAGAGGGAGGCGGTGGAAGCGCTTCTATTGGCCGGTGCTGACCCAACTCTGACAGATCGCCATGGCAACACAGCGCTGCACCTGGCATCCCAGTTGGAAGGAGGAGCGGAGATGGTCCAGTTTCTACTGCGGCACAGAGAGCTGAGGGGACTGCTGGACCACACCAACACAGCAGGTACACACACTGTAACACACACACACACTAACACACACTAACACACACAACACACACTAACACACACACACACTAACACACACACACACAGTGTAACACACACACAGTGTAACACACACACACTGTAACACACACTAACACACACACACACAGTGTAACACACACATACACACACTGTAACACACACACATACACACACTGTAACACACACACACACTGCACAGGTACCCCCCCTAACATTAGTCTGTTTCCATGGTTACAGGTCTGTGTGCAATCCACCTGGCGGTTCTGGCCAATCAGCTGTCATCTCTCAGGGAACTGCTGGAGGGCGGGGCTAACGTGGAGGCTCAGGAGCGCAGCTGTGGACGGACCGCCCTCCACCTCGCCACCGAGGGCGACAACGTCTCGCTGGCTGGCTGCCTGCTGCTCGAGGTACACACTGGGAATACTGGGAATACTGGGAGTTGACTCATTAACTGGTTGGAGCCAGTAGGACGTAACGCTCTGTGATGTTTTCTGTCGTCAGGGAAACGCCAACGTGGACTGCTGCACCTTTAATGGCTCCACCCCCCTCCACATTGCTGCAGGGCGGGGGTCCATCAAGCTAACTGCTCTGCTGATGGCTGCAGGTGACACAGAGACACACACACACACAGAGAGACACACAGAGACACACACACACACAGAGACACACACACAGACACACACACAGACACACAGAGAGACACAGACACACACAGAGACAGACACAGAGACACACACAGAGACACACAGACACACAGAGACACACACACAGAGACACACACAGACACACACACACAGAGACACACACAGAGAGACACACAGAGACACACACAGAGAGACACACAGAGAGACACACACAGAGACACAGACACACACACACACACAGAGAGAGACACACACACAGACACACACAGAGACACACACAGAGACACAGACACACACACACACACAGAGACACACAGAACACACACAGAGAGACACACAGAGAGACACACACAGAGACACAGACAGAGACACAGACAGAGACACAGACACACACAGAGACACAGACACACACAGAGACACAGACACACACACACACACACAGACACACACAGAGACACACACACACACACACACACAGACACAGAGACACAGACACACACAGACACACACTCACTCACAACACACCACACACACACACACACACACACACACACACACACAGAGTAAACATTGTGTGTCCTTTTACCACCTCTGTATATTTTATGATCTAATCTTTTATTATGAAACAGTTTCCTTACTGACGTGTTTGTGTGTTTCCAGGCGCCGACCCTCACAAGGAGAACTTCGAGCCGCTCTTCTTCAAGGAGGAGGAGGAGGAGGAGGAAGACTGCGACAAAGAGAGGGAGGAGGATGACGATGAAGGCTACATCCCAGGAACCACTCCACTCAACATGGCCGCCACCACTCAGGTACGCCGACCTCCTTCAGAGTAAAGTCATAAAACAGACATGGTCCTGACTTTCAAAATAAGAGCCTGACCCCAACCTAAGTTTAACTTAACAGCTGAAGACTCAAATATAAAACCTGTGTGTGTGTGTGTGTGTAGGTGTTGGAGCTTCTGAATGGTAAAGCGTATGAACCAACACCTCCACACAGAGCTCTCACGCCTCCTCAAGGTGAGTTAATCCCTGATCTGACCTCTGACCTTCGACATCAAAATAAAGTGTCTCTGATTCTCTATTTGGTGCCACAATGTTTGTGTATTTGGGGGAAATTTAAAATAAATTCTAATCAGTTCAAGACATTTTTTTAGTCAAATAACTTCGACATGTCGGGAGAAAGTTTTTTTTACTTTTTGTAAATAATCAAAGTATCTGTGTTTCTATTTGAGGAAAGAATGTGTACTTTTATCAAATTTAACACATTCATTTAGATTCATTTTTGTGTGTGTGTGTGTGTGTGTGTGTGTGTGCAGGCGACCTGGCGAGCCTGGACGTGGAGGTGAAGCAGCAGGTGTGTCGCGCTCTGGAGAGTGAAGGATGCTGGGAGAACCTGGCTCACAGTCTGGGTCTTGGGATCCTGAACACGGCCTTCAGACTGAGCCCCTCCCCCGCCAAGACCCTGCTGGACAGCTACGAGGTACACACACACACACACACACACACACACACACACACACACACACACACACACACACACACACACACACACACACACACACACACACGTCCTGTGTGACCTCTGACCCCTGAGCTGACTGGAAGTTGTCGCCCTGCAGGTTTCTGGCGGAACGATCCGGGACTTGCTGGCTGGTCTGAGGTCAGTCGGGGATTGCAGAGCGCTGAGCGTCCTGGAGGAGGCGCTGCGTCGCCTCGGTGAGCAGGAAGTGACCGATGAGACAGAAGGTGAGCGGATGCTGATTGGTTGTTTATCCCTTAAAAACACGGTCGCCATGACGACCCGTGGCTCAGCTGTGGTCTCTCCCCACAGGCGAGGCTCTGTGCGCTCAGGTCCAGGATCTGAAGGTAGACGTTCGGCTCGACAGCGGGGTGTGTGACAGCGGGGTGGAGCTCTCCACAGCGTAACCGCCTGATTGGTTCATCTGGGTTCATCAGAGAAAGCACAGTTCATCATCATCCTCCATCGATCGATTGATCGATTGATCGATCTGTCCACGCTGAGGAAACCTCCATCACAAAACATTTTAACTATTTTTAATGAATTTTTAAGCTGTTTGTTTGTTTGTTTGTGTGTAAACTGAAAGTCACAGCAGGTCAGACCAAATCAGATGCTGCAGCCAGATCAACATCCCCTCACTGATTGATTGATTGATTGATTGATTGGTAGTAGTCAGTTAAGTCTGCGGCCGGGGGCTGAAACTGAATCCAGTTTAGGAGAAAAGCGGACGTCAAACTGATCCACAATCAGCCTGAAACAGCCGCTGCCCCTCAACACAGAGCGTCCATTGGTTCTGTTCGTCAGAGACAGTTAGCCTCTTTCTCTACAGAATAATAATAATAATAATAATAATAATAATAATAATAATAATAACAATAATAACAACAACACCTGCAAGCAGATATTAACGGGGTCCAACAACCCCACTCAGGTCTATCAGAGCAGCAGAGACTGGAACTCAGTGAACATTAATCTAGAAAGTCTGTTTCAGTGTATCCTCGGTCACTTCTTGTTTCAAGTGCACGCTACAGGAAGTTGTTACTGTGTAACCAACAGTACAACAAATCAAACCAACATGGTCAACAAGTTTCATCAAGATCGGAAGAGTTGTGAATTTTGCAAAAAAAAACAACGTATATACAGAAACTTTTCTCAACAAAGTTACAAAGAGCCTTACAGGCCGAACCGTTGGAAGATATTGAAGTGAGTTTGAATACAAAAAGAATAAAAGACCTCCATCAGTAAAAATAAACGATAAGACAAATTATACTGAGAAACTAAGGTTTTATTTTGAAAGTTTCTCATTATAATCAGAATAAAATATTTTTCCATCACATTGGCAACAAGCTTCCATAGCGAGTGCCGGTAGCGAGAGTCAGAGATTGTTTCACAGCGGTTGCGTCCAGCACAAACGGCGCCGCAGCGTCTGATCGGGTCTGAACTCGGCTTCACTGACAGGAACTAAAGAGTGATTCTTGTTTTCTAGAAAAAATGAATATTTGGTTTGATGTTTTTCTGCCCACACTACACTCCAACAGCTCGACCAAACAATCTGATGTTTGTTCCTCGATCAACAAATCTCAATAATTCACCCCAAAATGAAACCGTATGGCGTGTTCACACAGCGGCAAGTTCTCACCTCGCCTTTAATCGGGTTCACGGTGGTCCAGTAAAACGATGCTGAAATAACGACGTCATGATGGAGAAAAATCAGAATTCAAACGTCGGTCAGCGAGACGACGCGCAAACAGCTTTTAAAATGCTTGTTTTTTGAATGGAGTTTGGTTGATCAGAGCTGTTAAATAACACATATTTTCCAACTTCCTCTCACTTGTGCGTTCTCTGTTTAAATATGAAACATCAGAGTGAAGATAAATCCACTTTTTAAACCCCAAAAGTTCCACAAATTAACTCCTGTTGCTGGTAAACGTCTCCGGGTCGCAACACTGCGAAACCCCCAACGTCCGCAGGGATTCACCTCGAAGCTGAATATGTTCTTGCAGAAATTTAGGAGATTCATCCGTCTTATGAAAACTTGGCTTCGCTCTCTGTGTGAACACGCCGTACCGCCTCCTCCCTGGACGCTGTCAGGTGGTAGAAAACTAATCAAACCCTCACTTGGAATTATGTTCTGTCGGCTGCTGAACGAAGACGTAGAGTCTGGTGGATTTTAGGATTTCCATGAAGCGTTCAGCAGTGATTTTTTTTTCTGGAGCGGACGTCGGCGTCTGCAGGGGAAAGGTGCTATTGATAAAGAAATGATTGTAAACAGGCTCATCTGCCCCGAAGGGCTCAGACTGTCTCAATACAACACTCATGGAAAGAGCTGTTGGTGTTCGTAGCTGCTCAGCCGAGGATAGCCTGCAGTCCTGGAACCAGTCCGGAAGGAAACTGCAGCAGAACTCAAGAACCTGGAGATACAATTCACAGGTTACATTCAACTGACCCGTTTCCCTCTGAGCTCCAATCACAGTTCAACAAGCCGCGACCAACTTCCTCCTTTCCTGTACTTAGAGATGCTACATGCTAGGCTAATCTATGTTAAAAAGACAACTACTTTTTAAAGATGTTTAAAGGATAATAGACGTATACAGTCACATCTTAAATTAGCTAATGTTAGCAAAACAATAGCGAGAGAGCTAATGCTAGGTAGCGAGCTAGTTACGCGTCTCTGTGGCAAAAGACTAGCTAACTAACTACTGATGTAAATCGAGTTAGCTAACGTTAGCCTCTTTTATCTTTTACCATCTTCAAAATGTGGTTGTCTTTGTATCATAGATTAGCTTAGCATGTAGCATATCTCAGTACAGGAAAGGAGGAAGTTGATGGAGGCTAGCTCAACTGTGATTGGAGCACAGAACAAAAAGGGGCGGGACTTAGGAACGGTCAATATATTTTAAATCCCCTGTATACATTTTTTTTTTTACTGCATTTGTATTGATCGCTGCCTCGTAACATCCGACGTATTACAACACGGCCATCTTGTGGTCGGTGTTTAAACACAAGATCACAAAATGAACCACTGCCACGAATCTCTGCATCAATACTGTACCACAGATAATATCGCAGTAATCTGGTGGATAACTTTCTACCCAGTATAATGTAGTGCAGAACCTTTAACTGACCTCTGCAGCAGACCATGAATTTATTTCTGACGTCAACAGAAACTGAACTTTCTGAACTTAAAAGGTTGAATTTCTATCAGCGCTGTTATATTGTTCCCCTAATAAAGGGGTTTAAATAAAGTTTATATGAAACAGGAGCGAGTACGAACACCAACAACTCTCCACATGTGTGAATATTAAACATCTGACCTTTAAGAGTGCATGTTTTTAAAGATTGATTTTTTTAATGTTTAGTGTTTTTATTTTTATTTTGAGGCCATTTTCTGTTATTTTCTGTCGTCTCACCACTGAAACCTGTTGAAGACTCATAAACCTGCAGCAGCGAGATGATCCTGATCTGTTTCTCTTCCTCCATTTACACAACGATGGATGCGTTTTGGCAGCGGCAGGAAACTGTTAACGACATGATGCAAGGCATTGTGGGATAGGAAGTCCAGAGCTGTGAGGAGTTGTAGTCTTTAGTGAAACCAAAGCGATATTTATATCTTTGCTCTGCACTGTACAGTTCAACACGAGCTTCATTGTTATTTTTTAAATAAAGTTTTTTATATTTATCGACTGGTAAACTGTCTTCTTTTATAAATGACTATTAGAATATAATTAATAGTAATAGTAATCAATAGCATATATAGAGTAGAACTGAAGCCGACAATACTTCAGTACTTTTAGTTGAAGGTTTAAGGTGGACATTTAAAGTTACAGGAATATTCATTGAAAATAATATCAGTTATACTTTCAGTTGCTACGTTTTTTAAAACTCAAAAGATTTTAGTTTTTCTAAAGAAAAATTATTTCAACAAAAGATGAAGAGGTCAGGTTTTTACATTTATTTCAAAACTTAAAAATGTATTTTAGACAAATAGCCCACCTTAAAATCCAGGATGAAAATCATCATGAACCACCTTCGTCATCCTGTAATTTTAAATGTTTTGCTATTTTTCTCTTTTTTAAATGTTTAATTATGTAAAGCACAAACCAGTCCAGTGATATGATGATGTCACTTCCTACTACACTTTATTTTTAACCAACAATATTACAACATAAATGATCTGCAATCAAATCTAAATATATTCAGTAGAGTTGAGATGTGAGAATATTTAGTGTTATGATATTGTATCGATTCTCAAAAACAATTTTAGAGTTTGAAGCTCTAAACATTAGATAGCAGTGTTGTAAACTTTCCTTTAATCAGATTTTATGCCTCTTTGTTCTTTATACCGACAGTTTAACTAAAATTAGATTCAAAAAGAAAAGCAACCTTTTCGCTTACAGTATCGCAGTATATTGAATCAGAACTCCTTTCTCAGGATTGTATCACCAGATTGTTGCCGACACACGGCTCGAATAACAAATATAGACTAGTAAAAAGTAAAAAACTTCAATGTAAATGTATTAAAGTTACTTTAACTGTGAATTTATATTGACAAAGTAAATAAAAGTGTGAATAATGTGAAAATATGAGAGAAACAAACAGCTTCACTGAATTTAACAACAAAAACAAATCAATTAGTTGTGTGAGAGGGACAAACTGTAAACAACAACAAAGACAAAACAAACATTTCATATTTAAAAGAGAGTTCAAACTTTACCTGCTCAACTTCTTCTGTTGGATCTCGTCCTCCTCTGAGGACAAACGCTCTCCACCTGCTGCAGCTGATGAGACCGATGACGTCAGACAGGTGGAGCCGATCCGAACCAATCATCAATCAATTAACTTCATTTAAACACCTTTCATACAAACATGCACTGTAAAAAAATAATGTTATTTTTATGGTTAAATTCAGGCAGCTGTGGATGGCAGTTTTTACAGTGGAACTTTTTCTATAATGGTAAAAAGATATTAGTAATGTTGATTTTAAGTTGTTTTATTCCATATTTTACTTTTTTTAATAAAAGGAAATTATATGAATGCTGTAAAAATAAAGGTTATATTATTGTTGAATATAATATTAAATATACAGGAAAGATTTATCTAAATACAAAATAAAAAGTCGACAATCAAACTGCAATTTGTTCAACTTTATTGAGAAAAAAAACATCACAGAGCTATTAGTTGATCAATCAGCCGTTGAGAGCTTCGAGTTTCATCTTCAGTGCAAAAAGAGGAGAACAGTGTTGGATGATGGATGAACTAACGGCTCTCGTCTAAAACAAAAAAAAACAACAAGAACTCAATAAAAATCTGTCGGCTCCTTTTTTTTTTTAAAAGTGGACAAATCTGAGCAGCACATGAACCAATCAATCACTGACATGCATTAAATTATTGATTATTTATTGTAACAGTTTCTCAGTTGGCACATTCACAGCTCTCGGCCCATCTTCTCTCCGTTCACTCATTATTTCACAAAGCAGAGAAATCAAAAGTTTAAAAGCGGTTCAGATGGAGGAGGCGGGCCCAAAGGAACGTGAACAAATTGCTGTTATTGGCTGATTGATTGGTGGGAAATCAAACAGTTCGTTCCAGCAGGGGGGAGGAAGAGGGTCACATGGCGTATTTCTGAGTCCAGTCCTGAGCTGTCTTGTTGTACCTGCAGACAGAAAACACACAGGTGAGTCCGACAGCTGGTTGACGGAGAGCAGGGACGATGCCGTGCACACTCACACTCACACACACACACACACACACACACACACGTTTGTTAGGACATTCATTCACTGTGGACAACCTCACTGTTACACTAAGTTTAACCCCGACCTTCGTTGGGGACATTTTACTGCATCAAAGTCTCTTAAACAGTTTACTTATATCTACCTGTAAAAAGGTGGTAAGGAGGCGATTGATTGATTGATTGATTGATTGATTGATTGATTGAGTTTAGAGCAGCCAATAGCAGCGAGCGCTATGAGCTAGCATCAGAGTGTATCTTCCAGTGAACACAGCCGGACCCGGGACCAAACACAGTCTCTGTTAGTCTGACAGGGAATCCAGTACCGAGGTGGTTTAATTGACAGGTTTGATCACTGAATGCAGTTATAAAGTTGAGCTAACCAACGATCAATGTAAATAAGCTAGACATAGATTAGCTTTGGTCCACATGAGGACTACTGGTCCCAACTAGGTAGTGTAGAAGAAAAGGTCCCCAGTATGTGACAATAACACGTAAACACACAGCGGCGCTGTGAACTCGTCCTGTATCAATAAAGTTTAAACTAATAAACATCTTAACCTAACAGCAACTGTTCCAGATCACTGAGCACTTTCTACCGTCAGCCAATGAGAACCAAGACTCAGCAGAGAGAGAATATCACATCAATGGTCTAAAGAGCCTGAAGGACAGCGGGGGGGAGTAACTGAGTACTTTTACTCAAGTACCAACGCACTGAAGCTGCTGTTATTGATCTGTGTTCAGAGTTGGTGGCTGACCCAGATGTTTAAATCTTGTGCATGCAGGTAGAAACAGCATCTGAGTTTTCATGTTTCAGCTCATTTTCAGTTTCTGTAACGACCTCCATCCCCCCGGGTTCAGGGCCGGGTTCAGGGCCGGGTTCAGGGCCGGGTTCAGGGCCGGGTTCAGGGCCGGGTTCAGGGCCGGGTTCTAGTCCAGCAGCTGAAACATGAAAGCAGCTCAGGCTGTCTGTGGATCTGGAGCCATGCTTTGCATCAACGTGCTTTCAGTCCAGTTTGAACGACTTCCTGCCAGACGGCGTCACACAGTGAGACAGACTCAGCAGGCAGGAAACTCAGGCGTCCAATCAGAGGACAGCTCAGCTCTTACCCTCACAGCATGGCATACTTCTCTGTCCACTCCCTGGCTAGTCTGTTATACCTGAGACCAACCAGACACTCTGGTTAAACTCTTAAATACTAAATGTTTCACACGTTCAGCTCGTTAGAGATTCGTCATCGGAGCCCAATCAGAGCTCGTCTACGCCGCTTTAAAGCAGGGTTCCCGCTCTTTTTCACAAATCCATTTCCTGTTATATAATGTATGATAATGTCAACAGAAAAAAGAAAATGGCTGAAGAAGCAAAGCTTGAGGCTGGAAGTAGCTCGCAGTATTTACACAAAGCTGACTCACTTCCAGACTGGAATTGGACAAATTTAATAGAATCTGGGAAACTGGATGGAATAATATATAAATATATAAATCTCTCTCCAGTTAGGTCGAAGTTTGTATGACAGAAAGTGTAAACGCAGTTTGGTTCAGCGATAGTGTGAATTGTTGAACTCTAGGAGAAGTAAACTGTGATGGTGCAGGTATAAAGGTTGAATCAGGAGTGTTTGTTTTTAATGAACACTGAGTGTGTATGAAAGGTGTGGATATGTACCTGAAGGTATAATCAGCATATACACTAGTATAATGGAGGACATACATTCTTCATTTTTTTCAGTGGAATCTTTCAGAGGAAACTATAAACATTATGAAACGCTGTCTACGACAAATCCTTCATTATTCGTTCCTTCTTGTAAATAAAGAAAACATTACACATTTATTTATTTCTGTTTGTGTCCCAGCGTGTTGGCTGCTACTGTTGGACTGCTGGTTAAAAACAACTCATCTGGTCTTTGCAAACAGGAATGAAGACCGTGTTGATCTGAGCGGTCCCGATCCAAACTGGACTGGACTGTGTGTAGATGGGGACAGTTTCTGACGGTACAGGTAGAAACTCACCTAACAGGGTCTGTTTTGTAGATGCGGGCGATCTCTGGCACTAACGGATCGTCAGGGTTCGGGTCACATAACAGAGAACAAATGGACAAAAGGACTGTGGAGAGGAAGACATGGACAACATGTTTATTCATCAGTGCACGATACTGTACTGTAGCAGATATAGCTGAAGGCCCATTCTTTTATTTTAGCCACGTGTCTACGTCCTAAAGACAGCCTGTTAAAGTCCACTGCGTCCTGCTGTCTCGTGGTATTAACTCACAGCACCATCTACTGGTTATAATCTGACATTAAAGGGTCCAACGGGCCTAAAAATAAGCACGAACACACACTTTGTTTTCAGATCTACATCTGCTTAAAAAAAATCTATTTATGTTTTGTTAAATCTAAATCAGTGCTTCCCAACCTGTGGGTCGGGGACCCCAGCAGGGGTCGGGAAAGCTTTGTGGGGGGTTGTGAGGCCTTCTTGATTTTAAGGCGTAAAAGAAAACCTTGTTATTGAGTTCACTGTTTGGGTTCATTGATCAGTTTATCAGCTGTACTCTAAATAAATAAAAATAGAAAGAAGAAATAATAGAAATAGTTAAATCCACTGCCCCCTCCAGACCCATTTCTGTGAAGTTAATAGTTTCTTACCTTTAGAGATAGTTAATGCTGGAGACCACTGTGATCTCAATATATCCAAGCAGATGCTGCCGTTACTGTTAATATTTGGGTGATAAATTCTTGTTGTGAAGGCGACCTGATGGAAGAAGGAAACAGAATCAGCCCCACAGATCTTTTTATAATAAATAAAGCTCAGTGTGTGGAGCTGCTCACTGACCTTGGGTGGTTTGAAGGGATAATCTGTGGGGAAATGAATAGTCAGGAAAAACACGCCACCCTGATAGGGACTGTCCGGCTGCAGCAGGAACACACAGAGAGAAAACACAGGTTACACACACTGGATATTCACACACTGCTAACAGTTCACACACACAACTGTGGTAATGATACAACAGCTACAGAGCAAATATTTGTTCTCATATGAACTCTGGAAGTGTGATTTGTGACAATGAAATAAACAACAGAGCAAACTTTACAAAAAGTGTCCCTGAAGGTTTGATTTAAGTTCCTTTTCACAGTTTATAACAATAATATTGTCCTGGCTTTAAATACCTGTAATGTCCATTTGTATGCAGATGATACTATTTTATATTGTTGGGCTGACAGCATCATTGATCTCAAACTTATGTAAAATGCTGATAAAACAAAATATATGCTATTCATTAGAGCCAAGAAAATAGATTTTAGTAGACTTCAAATTAGCTAAATAAAACTGTAAACACAGAACTTCTTGTTGAACTCCACAATAAAAGAAAGAAGTTTGGTACTTACGGGTCCCATTATAGTAGCTTGCCAATGAAACACTGGAAGAAGGAAAAGAAGCAGGTTATTAAAGCACACTAACGGTGTGTCAGCTGTACACAGAGTCTGTATGAGTTTATATTTGTAAAATAAAATCCTCTCACTGTCTTCTCCGACGGGTCCGGCAGAGCACTGAGCAGGAGGATCTCTGGACAAATCGGTTAGCTCCTGAAAACACACAGAATAATGTTGTGTTTATATCATTACTTTTTATTAATTATCAACAACTGTACATTTGATCATTAATAACAGGGTGTTTAAGTGTATTTATTTAAAATATATGTAATATATAACATATGACGATTATGTAATCTGAGTGAGGGGCTAAAATACAGGACAACACAGATTATTTTGTGGATATTTGCTCATTTTAATCAATTATCAGGTGTTTCCAGGACTGGAAAACTAGTCTCTAAATTTCCAGGTTTTCCAGGATGTGTTTGATCTGTCAGAAAACATGAGACATGCCGGCACTGATAAAAAGTAAACAATGAACTCGGTGTGACACGATTCTGATGGATCAGACATTTTAGAAGCGGTTCTCATCCATGTTCAGGAGTTTGTTTCCTGTCTGGGGAATCACTGATGATAATATTGATGTGTTCGTCTGCGGCTGTTTGGTAGTTTGCATTTTGTTCTGCTTTTATTTCCTGTTTGAGAACATCCGCATGCAGATGTGTCTCACAGCAAGCTGCTTCCTTCAGCTGCACTCAGACTCATTTATGTTGCTTCAGCTGACAACCCCATAATCCTCCTTTAAGTCTATAAAGTACCCTGTTTCAAGTATTTCCTGTTTCACCATTTTAATTCTCATTATTTCAGTGTTTATTCAGAGACTTACAGTTTCCACATACACAGCCTCTTTCTGTCTCTGCGCTGTTAACTTCTGTCAGCAGTGGGTTTTAAAAAGCCACAAAAAACAACTTGTGTTTTGAATATTTCTTCACCCGCGATTCCGTTTTCATAACAGCCGCTGAGACTAAACTAAATGTAGCATCTTCAGGACAACCAAAAGCTGCATTTCATACTTTTAAAGAAACACTTCATCTAAAGTAATGTGCATGAACTCATAATTAATCACAGCGACACTCTCCCACACATTACACTCACAGGTGAACAGGTGGCACCGCCCATTTCCATGTGACCCACATTTCAATAATCACTGCGAATATTCAAAATACTAAAAACTTATTGTCAAATTAATTCTTACTGTTCATTCGTGGCTCCTAAACTAAAACACCAGTTCATCTTTCCCAGAACAAAACTAATTTAATGCCATTTGATCATCTTTCAACCTTAAAACCACTTATCCAATCCTAATCCTAATTACTAATTATCCACTGATTCATTCATATTTTAACAATGAGTTCAGTTGGTTAAACAACATCAACTGCAATTAAAATATCTACTGTGTGCTATAAACTGATGTCTTCCTCAGCTGTCTGTTATGTTTTCTCCTGAGATCAGTTCAGGGTCGTCTTTTATAGGCGTTATGTGTCTTTGTACGCATGTTTTGTTGTGTGAAGATAACGGGGGTGCAGGAATAAAGAAAGAATAAAGTGTCTGAAGCTGCAGAAACTCCTTTAAAATGTCAGCCGTTCTCAGAAGTCCACCTGCTGCAACATGAAGGAGAACAAGAAAATCCTGAACTGGACCAAAAAAACCACACCAACTGTTGAGAGTTCACATGTTCGAACACTGAACCTACAGAGGCGACGAGATAAACACTTAACAGCAGAAACGCTCACAGGTTCTGGTTCCAACTGCAACTGATTTTATTTGATTCTGGGGTTGAAGATCTGAACCATTTAATAACAGTTCACTGGGCTCATTTTTGATTAAAAGGTTTAAGTTATTTAACTTGCTGATAGTGCTGCGCCCCCGTCGGAGTCTCAGTGACATCTTCCTCATCAGTCTGAACCAAACCAACATTAAACTGCGTTCAGGAGCTGCTCCTCGTCAACGTCACAACGTTAAAAATGTTTAGTTATTAGTTTCAGTGTTAGTTTGTATTATAATATGGGGGTATTTGTTTTTAGGTCTTAATACAATCACACTGACTGAGTCCCAATATTCAGATGAACCAACGTCTCTTCATGTTTGACCAAACCGACAAAAACTGGAACTTAACATATTTCCTGTATGTTTTTATGTCCATTAGTTTTGAAAGCGCAAAATATTGTTTCAGTTCCTTTTTATATTGATTTCAGTGAACTAAAATGTTTCGCACCTAGTTTTTGGTTTAGCTTTAGTGAACTGTAATAACTTTAACTAACACACGGTGAGAAGTTGCAGCGGAGGAAGCCCACCTCACCAGAAATACAAAGATGATTTGGTTTTTAAGAAATAATTAATAATATTTAAGCTTTTTGAGCTTCATGGTTTCATTACAGAGCAAAGGCTGAATATTTAATGAGGGACTGTTCACCCCCCCACTGAACTTATCTGAACGGATTATTACATCATATTGTGCCATCATGTCGGACAGGATCATACAAACGGTCCCACATGTGTCGCACTCGTGATTGCGGCCGGGAGCCGAGCAGCAGCTGCATGACCAGTAAATCTGATCCTGGTGCTGCTCAACATGTGAAAGCTGTAGAGGAGGAGGAGATAAAGAAGATGCCACTGAGGCCGGTCTGACACTGACCACAGATCTGTTGCTGAGAGCTGATGTAGCGTCATCAGCCAATGAGACAGCTGAATGAGTGCGAAAACAGCAGAAGTGGAAACAAGAAGATTTTACAGAAGTAGAGAATGAAGACTGAAATATTCTGAAACAACCGTCAGAGCCTTGTTGTTGTTGTTGTTGTTGTGTCTGAAGACTGTTAGTATGAAGTTATCATCCAACAGATACTGAATCAAATATCTGTGTCCGTACATTAACACTTATGTTCAACTGATGTTTTTATGGTTTATATTTCCAGAAATCAGCTGACAGGAACAATTTTAATCAGGTTTTAATCTGAACTTTAAAATATTTTTATTTAAACTTTAAATGTTGCTGCTTAATTTTGTTCTGATCGATTAATTGTTCTAGCTCTAAATGAATCAATCTTTATTATTGATTAACAGTCTTCTGGTGGCAAATTTCCTGCTTCTTTCAGTTTTATTTCATAATAAACTGAATATTTAGTTTTTTGGACCAAACACATTTGAAGACGTGACCTTAGATACTTTTCACTATTTGACATTTTATAGACCAAAGGACGAGTTGGAAAAACATTTTTAAGATGCATCAAAAGGAAGAAAGTAATTGTAAATACAAAGACTTATTTTGAAGGCCCCACTTTATCCTGAAAGGATGGCGGCTCCGAGCTGAAGTTTTATGTCCCGAGTGAACGCAGCCTTAAAAACAAACTGAGACACACAGGCCATTATAGATGTGTAAGCAGCAGCTCTATTTTTACTCTGCGGACAGTCGGGGGGCAGATCAGGATGGGGGGGGGTTGTATTTCCAGCCTGCAGGTCTCCCTGAAGCGAAACTGGCCCTGTGTGTGTGCCGGTATGTGACACAGGCTCAGCACACACGGCTCATCTTTCAGGAGTTTGGGAGGCGAGAAAGTGGCGAGGAATTCAGAGGCTGACTGTGACAGAAGCAGCTGGGAGAGTTACCCTGGTTCAAAGGTCAACACGGACACCTTCTTAAAGTTTCACTGGTTTTAAATCCATTTACAACAGATGTTCCAATTAATAAGTCCCCTGTCAAACCCTCAGATCCACTGGTTCCTCTTTTTATATTCTACTGTAAACAGCAGGTTTCTGACCCAGAAACCACAATGAATGATGGGAAAACTGAGTATGAAGACGTTCATAAACTGCTTGTTTCTTTTCATCTACACCAGTTTGTGTTGTGCAAACTAAAAAAAAGGAATTTAAGTTTTTTTACATTAAAGACTCAGAATCTGATCTGAGACGTTGATCGGTACCGATGTTCGGCACAGATTATCTGGTTTACAGATCCAGTCTTAAACCTCCAGACCTGCTCAGACTCATCAGGGCCAATAACTTTCTAACATGTTTCCAGGTCGGGAGTTATACCACAGCCAAACAAACAACCAGTGCCATAGTGCCCCTTCTAAAATTAACTACTATTGCCCTGTGTTCAACTGGCTGTTGTGCCTCTAAAATAAAAGTTCCTCTTTAAACTACAGTCTGATCGCTCTATATATTTAGAACCAGAGACGTTCAGGGAGCCAACACTGTTAGCATCCTTCAGTCAGAGATACAGGCTGTGTCTCATTCCGCATACTTCCGTCAGTACACTGCTAATGTGCACCGACCACTTACTGCCGTAGTGCCCACTTTCGATGGTTAGTATTGTCCCAAAAGGAACACTTATTAGGGCTGCTCGATTATGGAAAAAATCATAATCACGATTATTTGGATCAAAATTGAAATCACGATTATTCAAACGATTATTTTTTAAAACTTCAGAAACATGCTGCATTTATTGGACATCTGTCAAAAACACTTTGCAAGGAAGTCCTCAGTTACACTTTCCTTTCCCCCATAAACATTTGTAAGTCTCCGGTTACCTGTTCAAACGAAAACAACGTGACAGGAGAAGACTGCAACTAGTGTCGCGACCACCGGCGCAAGTATAAATAGTTACGGCGCTCCTGTGACTTCACATTGTCGCGCGACAGGTCGGGAACGGCGAGTATACCGAGCGCATGACGTGCAGTGCTTGCTGCGGGGGAGGGACGGAAATACGCATGCGAAAAATACGCAGACTGTGGCTGCGTCCCAATTCAGGGGCTCAGCTTTTTTCTATACAACGTTGCACAACAGAAAATGAAAAACAAATCGTTTCCCTCCGATTTTATTAGTTTTGAGATCGTTTGGCCCCAAAATCGTAATCATCATCATATTTAAATTAATTGAGCAGCCTTAACACTTTTGTTAGAACACTTACCGGAAATGATGAGCTTGACGAACGCGACCAACGCAACACACGTGAACGCGATTTTCCAGCCCGCCAAAAATATATGCCGGCTTTTGTTTACAAACATTTTTCTGCACATTCATTTACCGCTCAGTTCACAGCATGTGGAAACTACGTCGCCTCCGACGCCAACGCAGGTTGGGGTAGCTAGGTAGCATTAACATGTAACGTTACGCTAATTAACTCGCCAAATGATTCTGTCGGCTTCAGTCAGTGTCAGTGAGGACATGTAAGTAATGCATTAGACACATTATTAGTGTGCAAGTAGGCTAAATGAGACACAGCCAATGTGTGTAATAAGCTCAGTATAATAGTTACTGTGTGTAATAAGCTCAGTATAATAGTTACTGTGTGTAATAAGCTCAGTATAATAGTTACTGTGTAATAAGCTCAGTATAATAGTTACTGTGTAATAAGCTCAGTATAATAGTTACTGTGTGTAATAAGCTCAGTATAATAGTTACTGTGTGTAATAAGCTCAGTATAATAGTTACTGTGTGTAATAAGCTCAGTATAATAGTTACTGTGTGTAATAAGCTCAGTATAATAGTTACTGTGTAATAAGCTCAGTATAATAATTACTGTGTAATAAGCTCAGTATAATAGTTACTGTGTAATAAGCTCAGTATAATAGTTACTGTGTAATAAGCTCAGTATAATAGTTACTGTGTGTAATAAGCTCAGTATAATAGTTACTGTGTAATAAGCTCAGTATAATAGTTACTGTGTAATAAGCTCAGTATAATAGTTACTGTGTAATAAGCTCAGTATAATAGTTACTGTGTAATAAGCTCAGTATAATAGTTACTGTGTAATAAGCTCAGTATAATAGTTACTGTGTAATAAGCTCAGTATAATAGTTACTGTGTGTAATAAGCTCAGTATAATGTTACTGTGTAATAAGCTCAGTATAATAGTTACTGTGTAATAAGCTCAGTATAATAGTTACTGTGTAATAAGCTCAGTATAATAGTTACTGTGTGTAATAAGCTCAGTATAATGTTACTGTGTAATAAGCTCAGTATAATAGTTACTGTGTGTAATAAGCTCAGTATAATAGTTACTGTGTAATAAGCTCAGTATAATAATTACTGTGTAATAAGCTCAGTATAATAGTTACTGTGTTTGCTGCCACAGAAAACTAATAAAAGCTTTATGTAACGTTACTTCAGTGTCTCCTTGGACTCTCTACGGCAGACTGAGAAGCTAATGCTAGCTAGCGTTTGTTATAACTATGATTTAGGTTAAAGAGAATTAAAATAACCTAAAACTGGACCACAGATACATTTCAGAGCTGGAAGCTAAAGTTAAACTAACTTTAGAGGTTTTTCCACAAAGGCAAATTAAATTAAAAGAGGAAATATGATGAGAGCTTTATATATTAGTTTTGATCTGAAACTGTCTCTGTTGGACATCATAATAAACAACAACAACAACAACAACAACAACAAAACCTGTTGACGACAGTCTGTCCACCAGTGTACAGTGAACCTAACTGTGGGCGTGGCACAGGAGCACAAACTGCACCGGGTTTAAAGGTCGACACTCACCTGTCTAACAGCAGGAGGGTTAGACAGGTTAGAGTTTTAATCCTACTACACTTTTATTTTCTGTTAAATTCATTTGCTTATTATAATGCATCATAGCTAATGAATCAGCTGTCTCTCTCTTATTATAATAATAATAACAACAACAACAATGAACAAAGGCAGATTCTTTGTATGTGTAAAAACCAGATTCTGGTTCTGATGTACAGGGTTCAGGTTAGATGGTTGTTATTTATTTATCACTGTTTTATTGGACTTTTATTTTAATGGAGAAACAGAACAGAAAGAAACCTCAGTAAGCTTCTCCTCCAGCAGGTGGACATAAAAACAAGCCCCGCCCTTCACTGTGATCACTAACTATTCACCTGGTCCACACCTGGTCCACACCTGGTCCACACCTGGTCCACACCTGGTCCTCAGCGAGGGTTCATGTTGGACCCGTTCAGTAGACTTTAAATGTAGCTCTAACACATTAATCAGTCTCAGCTCTGAAGGATCAACCAGTGAAATCCAGATTATTAATGTTAAAGTGTAAAACAACAAAAAGCATCTTGTGACTTCAGACTAACTGTTCAAACTGAGATAAGACAGAACTTTATTTATCCTGAGGGAAACTGTTGAGCAGCACAAAGAGAGCAAATATAAAATATAGAAAATACCCAGAACCACTAAAACTCTTTAATATTTACTCATTTTATTAAATAACTAATAGAACAATAATACCAAAGTTACACCTGAAAGTGAATTATTGTATTTGTCCAACCGTTTAAAGATATTCAGATTACTGATATAAGACAAAGAAAAGCAGCTGTGGCGACTGTTTATCATTTTCTGGACCAAACAATTAATGGATTGAGTAAATAATCGACAGATGAATTGATTACATCCCTTCAGTAAATAATAATAATAATAAAATAAATGTTCCTGGTCCACAACTCATCAGTAACAGTTTAAATAGAGTTAAAGTGCACATTGATTTATATCAGTGTATTTATTAACCACCAGGATCACAGAGCTGAAACTGTAGGAGAGAATAAGACTCAGTGTCCAGGTGTTTCCAGGTGTGTCCAGGTGTTTCCAGGTGTTTCCAGGATGTGTGGGAACCATGGTTACGGGTTTAAGAAAGCAGCTTTCTGAGTAGATTTGAGTCCTGTCAGGGCAGAATCCTTTCCAGATAAAAACATCTAAAACTATAATCAGCCACCATCTTGTTAATCAGAATCCTCCCTCTACAGTCAGTCTACAGAAATCAGCTAATAATGGGAAACTTACAGTATTATTAATGTCAATATCTCCTAATCACTGGTGATCAGTTAGATATTACACCATCCACTAAAGGTTGCAAACTTATTGATTAACTATCAGCTGCAGGTAATTACAGGTTATCATTATTATATTGGATGATAGAATAAATGGCTGTAATAAACCTGTATCAGGCTCTTAGAACACTCACCTGTCACTGACACCTGCCCATTAACCCCACCCACACAGGTGCGTTCACTGACTGTAACGTTCAGGTACACCTGGGTGTGAACTGAGGGCAGGTTCACTGATGCGTTCAGGTACACCTGGGTGTGAACTGAGAGCAGGCTCACTGATGCGTTCAGGTACACCTGGGTGTGAACTGAGGGCAGGTTCACTGATGCGTTCAGGTACACCTGGGTGTGAACTGAGAGCAGGCTCACTGATGCGTTCAGGTACACCTGGGTGTGAACTGAGAGCAGGTTCACTGATGCGTTCAGGTACACCTGGGTGTGAACTGAGGGCAGGCTCACTGATGCGTTCAGGTACACCTGGGTGTGAACTGAGAGCAGCTCCCTGATGCGTTCAGGTACACCTGGGTGTGAACTGAGAGCAGCTCCCTGATGCGTTCAGGTACACCTGGGTGTGAACTGAGGGCAGGCTCACTGATGCGTTCAGGTACACCTGGGTGTGAACTGAGGGCAGGCTCACTGATGCGTTCAGGTACACTGGGAGTCTGTGCTAACGGGAGCAGATGAAGCTAACGTTGAAGGCCTGAGTGACACAGCTAACACCACATCACTGAACCATTGTTCGATATCACACCTTACAGTCCGTGAACGCATCATGTACCGCCGTTACACCTGAACACAACACCCAGAGAATACCTCCACGTCCCTTCCGAGCCTCTGGACCCGCCACACCGGCGACCGTCCCCGGTTGGAGCCAAACGGTGTGTCACTGTGGAGGCTAACGGCGGCTAGCTCACGGGCTAACGGCGGCTAGCTCACGGGCTAACATCAGCCGACAGCGAAAATAATTTAAATGTAATAAAAGAGTTCGTTACCTTGGAAATTCGTTTTAAAGCCATTGTGTCTGCGTGAAGGGACCGGCTGTCGAGGAAGAGGAGGAGGAGGAAGAGGAGGAGGAGGAGGAGGAGGCCAGCTAGGTGACGCTAGCTAACTAGCATCTAGGACTTTGCTAGCTTGAGGCGCTGAGCTAGCTAGCGGTGCTACACATGCGCCGGTTAAACTACAAACTTGTTTTTTTTGTTGGCTGTCGACGGTTTCAGCGGCTGTCCGGAGACTGGACCTCCAGCACGGCAGCCACGACTTCAGGCTGACTCTCGAATAACGGAGCAGAGCGACCGCAGCGGCTCAAAATGTCTTCCGTTTCTCACAGAGAGCAGCTGTCAGAGCACCGGGAGCGGGACGTCTCACTCCGGCTCCGTTTCAGGAGACCGTCGAACAGACCGAGAGGAGGAGGAGGAGGAGGAGGAGGAGGATCACTCCGCTCACATTACCGGAGACAAAACGTGGAAGATGATTTCAGCCAGTTAGATAAAAACTATCTAAACTTCAGTGACGAGATAAAAAGTAATTTGTGGGATTAAAAAGTTATAATTATGAGATTTAATTATTTAATAATAATTGTATTAAATGTAAAACAAAGCATCTAAATTATGAGAAATTATGGGTTGGAATTAAAATATTTATGATAAAATAATTAGCAATTTTATGATTTTTTTATCTCATGATTATGACTTAACATTTTTTTTGTATTAGTTTTCATTTTATGTATTTATTTATTTTCACTTTACTGGCAGAAATGTGCTTCCATAGAAAAGATAAATGTTATAATATTTTCAAGAATAATATAATAAAGATTCTCCCTCAGCACTACATCATACAAATTACTATAGAGTGTTTTATGACTTATTAATCAATATTAGTTCAACATAAATGGATCTAAATTCAACCCTGCGTTTTAACTGACAATAAAATATCGTTGAATAAAGTTATTACATTAAGAGAATACGTTTTTGCCCTAATTTTGAGGAAAATGTAATAACATTTTCAAATACAATAACAGCTGTTGTTAAATGAGAATTTATCCCAATTATACAGCGTTTAACCTTATATAACCTTTAACTTATATTCAGTGTTTCTCTCAACTACAGGAACATTTTCTGTTTTGATGTATTTCTATTTTCAACGAGGGATAATTTCTGATATAAATCTGAACTCAGAGGGAAAATCTCTGACAGCAACAAACAACAAACACTTTATCGGGTTTATAAGGACACAATCACATCACACAGTCCATCAGCGCCTCCTTCAGGTCAGGAACAATACAGCGGCAACAATACAAAGCAGCTCTGATAACCCTAAAATCTGTAAAGTCAGCCATATTTTCTCCTGTACACACACACACACACACACACACACAAACACACATCCATTCAATCCATCTATTGTTTTCTATTTTCTTTATTCCATGTTTATGTAATGTGTATTTTCTTATAATTGTTAGTAATTGTTGGTGGCAGCTCAGATGATTTCTCTGACAGATGTGATGTAGTTGTGTTGACACTGAGGCAGCAGTTCTTGTGTAATGTGCTGTTTTCTCCACTAGATGGCGCTCATTATCTTCCCTATATTAACTGATATCCAGAAATATCCTCCTGTTTTTTTCTCTTCTACATTCAACAAATAGGAAATTCTCTTTCTCTCTCTCTTTTCTTTCTCGTGTTTGTTTTACATTTTACTAGAACCAACGTCTGGAAATAATTCTTTAGAGTCTTTAGAGCTGCGTTCACTCTGATGAAGGTTAATATAGGTTAATAAATAAATGTTGTTCACTGTCCAACCTACAGCAGACGTCTCCTTGTGGTTCTGATAATTATATCGGATTTGTTCATTAAACATATTTTTGATATAATATATAATTTCAGAGAGACACCACGACAACGTTTGAGATGGTTTATAAGTTTGAGTAGTTTAATAGAGCTGATGGAGAGAGGGACTGTGCTGCAGTGGCCTATTAGTGCCATATAAAACTTTATTATTAATTATTGACAGATTCATATATTCCTATTTTAATTTTAAACACACATGTGGGATTTATCTTAATAACATTTTTGTCAAATAAAAACATATTAAACATAATAAATAACTCCGAGGAAGAGATGTTAAATGTTAAACCGAGCTGAATTAATAAAGAACATTCTGTCTTCTTAAAAATAAAGCTCTGCACTATTGTCTGCTGTCTACAAATGTGATTGTTTTTTATTTGTTTATATATGTATAACTGTACATATTTGTTTATGTCAGTCTGTGTTTGTACTTTGAGAGCAACATAAAACTGGAGTCAGATTCTTTGTATGTGCACACAGCTGATCAATAAAGTGATTCTGATTCTGAAAAACAGCAACAATCTTCAGTAGTTTTATTTAATGTTTATTTTTAGTATGAAACCAAATTCACTGCAGATAATGTGATAATTCAATATCAGCACTGTGCAGCATATAATAATCATCTTTATTGATCTCCATTTAAAAAACAGCAGAATTAACAGTTTAACACACAAAGAGGTTTTTTGTGTCATTATTTTATAAGTTGATGGATCATAAAGTCTTCAGGATGAAATCTGTGAATTAGAGTCGTGTTCTCGTTAACAAAGTCACACCTCAAGGTAACTATTGATCCGCTGTGACATATTGCAGTTTTTCTTGATTGTTTACACACATTTATATTTTATAAAACACACACACACACACACACACACACACACACACACACACACACACACACACACACACACACACAATGGGTAAAACCCCTCAATTATCCTGCAAAATGAAACTTTACATTCAAAACAATGTTATTTCTTCTCAAAATGTTTTTTTGTTTTCTAATGACACACAAACCATCATATGAATAGACATTTATAAGAACCAGTTGAACACTGATGTGCTCAATGTAAAACACTGGAAAACACTTCTCCATTCATCATAATGACTTAGGCCTTTTTTTGTTCAGTGTTACACTTACTACAGACAGTACATACATAAGTGTGTTGTAAAATATTTGACAATATTGTTTTTATACTCAGAACACACAAATACACTGCAACTAATATATTTTATTTTTCCCACAAAAACAATGTACACAGTGTACATCCCAACCAACACAATGTACACATACAGTGGTCTACATACACACAACAGAAGAATTTACTGGATACAGTTACAGTAAAATAAACTATGCTGCATCCTCTCTTCTGTTTGGGTCTGGCCACAGCACCTCATCCACATCACAAGCAATGTTTTCTCGGGCCAAGCAGTGGGGGAAATATTGCCTAGCATGGCGAATCCAGCCATGAAAAGCATCAACTGCTATATCTAACCCTAACCTGTTGCCCTTTATGCTAAAGCTCTGATTGCTAATTGTAAAACTGTGTGACAGGTGTTTGCCCATGTGATGAGTCAGTGTGCATAGTAGGGCAATTAACTTTAGAATTTTGAATGACAGTGTGTTCCTTGTGAAAACAAGATATTTTCTTCATGAACATTGTGCCAAATGCAGAGAATTGTGTGTAGTGTTTTGAAAAAAGTGTGTTTTAGAACTGCAATTTGAGTGTAAAGCAGGAATTGTGCTTGTACTTTAGCAGAATTGGTTCAGTGGGTCGGTGCATGAGTTACATGTTGTGGTCATTGTGTCTCAAGTACCAGTATTTGTGTGTAAACAATTGAGAACAACTGTAAGTGTGTGTGATGGTTTGCAGCAGTCAGACCGACTAACATAACGCATCTGTGTGAGTGTGTATCGGTGTTAGAGATGAAGGCTTATTTAGAAGCACAATAACAGTATCTGTGACACAATGAGAGAAACTAGTCTCTAAAACTGGAGCTGGAACTTCTCTGCATCAATGAGAGTTTGGAAAGGAGATTCCCCAGCGTCCGTCCTCCAAGAGAACCTCTGTGTCCGACCGTCTTTATTTGGTGGTTTATGTAACGTGTGAATAGTGAGCGGTGTGTTCCCGGGAACCCTGCAGGCCTTCATGGAGAACCGGAGTCCAGCTTCATCAAAGACTTCTCCTAAAACATGAGTTTATCTTCCTGTAGTGGAGCTGAAAATGAGAAGAATCATTCTCTTTCTGCTTTATGACTAAAGAAACATTATAATGAGGACAAAGTGAGTTCATATAAACTTCTTTGAACATAAATCTGATTATTTTAAATGTGCTTTTGTATTGATTTTAAATATCATGGCAGATATTGATGGAAAATAACAATATAATATAATATAGTGGAATTATAATGATGATTTTAACCATAATCACATCCTCTGATCGACAGAGCCTTGATTCCACATCGGGACATAAAAGGAGAATTTGTTTGGAGGGAGGAAGTAATCAGATACTTTACTGCAGGAAGTGTTACTGCAGTGTGTGTGTGTGTGTGTGTGTGTGTGTGTGTGTGTGTGTGTGTGTGTGTGTGTGTGTGTGTGTGTGTGTGTGTGTGTGTGTGTGTGTTTGTGTGTGTGTGTAATCAGTTAACTTTAGTATTATTAAATCTGTAAAAGCAGATTTTACTGTCGCAGTTGGTTGGTGCTCATTTCCAACTATTCTGACTGCAACTACTGATTATTCTTTAAATCCATTGATTAACTGATTTGTACAAGTTATGAAAACAGTGAGAAATTACATCACAATTACCCAGAATCCAAAGTTAATCAAAATTATTACAATTATTACAAATATTAGGAAGGAAAAGCAGCAAATCTTCAGATTTGTGAGTCTGAAAGATAACTATTGACTTTCTGTCAATAAACTGATTGATTAATAAACTGATTGATTAATGGACTGATTGATTAATAAACTGATTGATTAATGGACTGATTGATTAATAAACTGATTGATTAATAAACTGATTGATTAATGGACTGATTGATTAATGGACTGATTGATTAATAAACTGATTGATTAATGGACTGATTGATTAATGGACTGATTGATTAATAAACTGATTGATTAATGGACTGATGGTTTCAGCTGCAATTGTACAAACTGTTGGCAGTTTCATCCAAGAACCTTAAACTGGAGTTCAGACGTCATTAAATACATATTTTTCTCTCTGTAATTGTTTTGTATGATTTGTGCTTTTTGGGGAGTTTTCTCTTCACTTGAGTCTCTATAAATAAAAACTGACTCGATTAATTACAGACCGGATTGATATTCTTCCAGGTTGAATAGAAATATCTGTATTTGTAGCAGCAGGAGTTTTATTTGCATTCAGTTTATAGGATCATTGTTGCAGCAGCACTGGAGCTCAGATCATAATCATCACACAGAACATCAAGAGGATGAAGGGAGAACAAATAGATGAAATATAAGAGTAGTTCTATAGACGTTTAAACTTCTAACAACGACAACTAGTGAAACAGATCATAATATTCCAGTATAATAATAATGATGTTGTCGTCTTCATATGCAGTATTTATATATTCCATACAGACGGACCGACAGCCTCAGGACACAATCCAACTCACAGTTTATGTTCAACTTTTAAAAGATGCTGTTTTAATAACATTCAGAATGAGGTTTTACTGTTTCACTGTGAAACGTTTCTGGATTTGCTTTAAGCAATAAGAACTTTCCTCCTGTAGCATTCGATGTGTGAAACCTCTGTGACGCTCAGCAGGGTTTTATAAAATCTGTATATTTAACTGCTGCTTATTTATTTACATTTATTACATTAAAGGTTTTCCCACCTAAAAACTGGTGGAATTAATGTAACTGAACTATCAGAATAAACTGCTGAACATTTTAAAAATAAAGGAGGAAAAAAGTAAGAAGCAGTTTGGACACTGAGTCTCTTTAAAGTTGTGAAGTTAAATAAATCAACGATGTGTTTTAATCTCTGTTGCATTAGAATTCTTTAAAACATTTGTATTATTATTAATTATTATAATTATAATTATAATGTGTATCTCTGTGGTTATTCTTTAAAGAGCTCAGTGAGAGTCTCCTCCATCTGTCCACGCTGTGTCTGCAGTTCCTGCTTCTGTCCACTGTGTGGCGCCGTGTGCCTGCAGACCCGGTTCTCCTCTGTGCAGCTGTTCCTCAACCAGCCTGCTGGATTTATTCTGAGTACCATCTGTGTTTCACACATGACGGGTTCTCCTGTTTATTACCGGAGCAGCAGAATTAATAAAGTCATTAAGTGAAAGAAGGAAATATATTTAAAGAACATGTTCCCCGCAGCGAGCTCCTTCAGGTGTTCCTCTGGAGGATGTTCCTACGAGTTCTCAGCAGGCCCATCACATAAAGAGCCTCTTTGGACGGTTCTGCTAGGTAGATCCGCTTTAAACACAAAGTTCAGAGGAAATATTTTATTTGTGTGTTGTTCTTTAAGGTTCTGCAAAGACCCAGCTGGCAGTGGTTCTTAAACTGGGACCCTGTAGACGGAACCAGGACTTTTGGGCCTTTTAGGAATCTAAACAAAGCAGTTCCTACAGTTCTTGGAGGAGGTTCTAGGTGTTTTTAGTGGGTTCTCGTGCATTAGGGTGTTCTACAGGAGGTTCTGTTAATATTCAGGAGGACCTAAAAGATGTTCAAGAACCTCACTGAGGCCATTAGAGGATGTTCCTGGATTTCCAGAGAGGGTTACTGTGTTCTGAAAAAGGTTCTAAGAAAAGGTTCCACAGGGTTGTACTGGGTTCCAGGGCCTGTGGGTGAGATTTAAGGTCTTCTAATAAAGGTTCTGATCATTTTAAGGGGCCTTTTTGGATCTGGAAGAGGAGTTCAGAGGTTGAAGGAGCTCTCTGAGGGTTCTTGAGTGGGTTCTTTAAAGGGCGTTTAAAGGATTCCCAAGGGGTTCTGGTTCCACAGGGTGTCCAGTAAAGGTTCCAGGACTTTTTAGGGCACCTGGGGCGGTTCCAGGGGTTTTTAAGGGGTTCCAGGAGTTCTGTGGGAGGTTTCGGGTTAATTCTTAAGGTGCTTGTGGACCTAGGAGTGGTTCATGGAGCCCTGAGTCTTACCTAATGGTTCTTCAGTGGGTTCTAGGGGCTTAAATGGAGATCCTGGAGTTCTTAAGAGACTTCAACGGCGTTCCAGGAATACATCGGACGGTTCCCGGTGTTTTTAAGGGGTTTTGGGGTAATTCTTAAGGTGCTCCGGTGGATCCTGAAGAGGTGTTGGGACTTCTGAGAGGGTTCTAGGGGATCCAGAGGAGGATTAAGGCTCCTTGAAGACGCATATCTTAATCCCTGATTACGGAGGTTCTTGAGGAGGTTCCAGGTTTCTAACATCATCACAAACGTGTTCCAGAGTTTTTAGACCAAAACTAAAATCATTGATAGAAATAAAACCAAAATAAAATCAGATTAAATTCATTAAATAGATTTTTTAAATTAAACTCATAATAATAATTTATAATAATATTAATAATTATTTTAGTTTCATTTATTAGAAACATTTTTAGTGACAGAAGGAAATTGTATTTATTAGAAGAGTTATTATTTATTACAATAATTAAAATGATAAAACAATATTTATAATAATAATTATAATTGGAGACGGGCCGATAAGCCTGTTGCCGTCTGCTTTCTAACCCTCTTCATCTTCCTCTTCATCGCCAACATGTTTGCAGCGTCTCATTGACTTTTTCTCTCCCCGCGCACAGAAATATTTTTCCAGGCTTTCCAGACGTTTGTGCGTCCCTGGAGGAAGGCAGCGGGCTAAAGGAGGATAAATATTTAATCAGCGCTGCTCTGGAGTTTGTGCTTAATTAGAGGAATTCTGCTCCCGCCACGAAAATGAACAAAAATTACTGCTGGAGACGTCAAAAGCCCCAAAAACATCAACAGAAAATGAGCATTATGATTGTTTGTATGAGGCCTCATATTGTTCCTGTTGTTACTGATGGACGCTGCGGCCCGCGCGCCTTAATCCTCAAATTAAACACATATTTTATAGCAGAGAGAAATAAAACACATCTTATTATGTGTGTGTGTGTGTGTGTGTGTGTGTGTGTGTGTGTGTGTGTGTGTGTGTGTGTGTGTGTGTGTGTGTGTGTGTGGAGAGAGAGAGCGCCATATGTCCATGCGTAAAAAAGCGCAAATTGGTGCCAAACTCGCGCGCCTCCCGTGTCAATCAGCCTGAACGCGGGATGACAGAGGAGATTATTCCACATGAAACCAGTTAATCCCCCAAAATCTGAGGAAGTCTGCGAGGTTGGAGGAAGAGAATACAGATTGGTGTCAGTGAGGAGGTTCAGTATTACAGTCTCGTATCCGGAGCGGGGAAGGTTTGGATAAAGGAGCTGGAAGCTGCTGCCAACCTCAACGTGTCTTTTAATGATTCAGGCGTAAAAGAAGCAATAGATATTAAAGAGAAGTGACAGATTGTGCCCAGTTGTTTGGGTTTGTTTGCAGATGTGTTGGAATCAGACGGAAACGGTGCGTAAAAGCGCTGCGTAAAAGCGGTTTGAGCTCCAGATTCCTTCACATGTTGACTGTTATTGGACACATCATCAACCTGTTAAAGTTCACCTGTCAGTGTGTTTGTGAAAGTGTTCATCTCTTCAGCTGAAATCCTTTAAAACATTCAGACCTCATTTCTTACAGTGCGCGCGGCCCAACACGCGGAAACCCTTATTTGGAGCTGGGTTTGAAAAAACAATGACGCAACGCGCGACTTCCACCAATCATGCGCCAGAGGTGCGACCAATATCCAAATGAGCTGCCCTTATTTGGTCGCGTCCCCGCCCCCTCCTGATCCACGCCGGTCCCCCGGGAGCTCCAGAGCCCCGGACCCCGGGAGAAGGAGCTCTCCGCCGGGACAGAGGAGCCATAAAGAGCCGGGGAGGGAGGGGGATGAGATTTCTCGCTGCCCAATCCCCCTGTTCCCCCGGGAGCAGCAGCCTTCCACGGTCCGTCCCTCCCTCTTGTTTGCTAATCATTTCATTTTACTCCTTTTTGAAGCGGTGGCGTGTTTTTTTATCCCACTTTTCATTTCTCCACAATCCGCGGCTGCTCGCCTCCCTCTGATCCCCGGCTCTCCGCGCTCCGTTCTCCCGGCGTCAGGCTCTCCGGATCCCGGCTGATTCTCCCCTCTCTGTCTCACTCTCTCACTCTCTCTCTCTCTCGGCTCCTCTGAGATGCTCTCCCCGCTCTCCGCTCCTCTCTCCGCCCTCTTTTAACTTCACAGAGACGCCGGTTTAAAGCCCGGGCAGCTGCGAGCCGGGGCTGGGATCTAAAACAACCTCGCAGAAACCCAGAGGGATCCGGGACTCTTCACTGGATCAGGACCCGATACTTTGGGGAAGCTCGCTCGTGTGTCCCTCCTCCCCTCCTTCCTTCCTCCTCCTCATCGCTCCTCTTCTCTCCACCTTAATCCAGGTGGTCCTTTGGCTTTTTTGAGTGGCTGCTACAGGGAGGATTATTCTTCTTTCTTTCTTGTTTCTGGTGAAGACAAAGCTCCCAGAAGGACACTTTGATGTTCTCCATCCAGGACAGCCTCCCCAGGGGTGCCCTGACCATGAAGGAGGAGCCGCTCCCCACCGGCATGACCCCGGTCCGCTCCTGGATGCAGGGCGCAGGGATTTTGGACGCCAACACAGCGGCCCAGAGGTAAAAATATCCCCCAAAAGCATGAAACTGTTCCCCTCCGCGCTGCTCATTAGTGCCACACTCTGAAAACTCCAGCGTGAAGGTGAAAGTGGTGTTTGCATCCTCCAGGAGCCGTTTGAAAAGTGACACACACGGAGGTTCCCGGTCAGTCTGCGGGGCGCAAAGAGCCAACAAAGTTAGACCCAAAGCGCAGTGAGACAGGCTCGGTTTGTTCTGTGAGACAGTGTAAAAACAAAGAGAGGATCAAATCAATTAAACACAGAAAAAAAGATGAAAACTTCGGACTTCAAACTTTTAGTGGAAGCTGCAGAGAAGCAACAGAAGCTCCTGATGGACATTCTGAGAGCTTTTACTTTAAAATCCATCTAAAAATGAACGTTTAGAATCCAGAAAAAGTCACATTTATTCTCAGAGAAAACAGAATCCCTCCTGAAAGCCTGTCAGTCATAAACACTCTGTCTTCTTTCTCCCACTAATCCAAAGCAGCAGGGTTAATGCTCCCAGCGCTGAGCAGCAGCCCCATCACACCGTCTCCCTCCTCCTCTCGGGCGGATTCGGGCTCACCGGCTGTCCGGTGCGAGCGCACACAGACGCCGAATTGCGTCCCGCGCTTCCACGTGTCTTTTAAACCCAAAACTCAACTCGAAATAACGTTTCCGTCCCCCGCACTTCGGCTCCGGTAATTCATTTAAACCGATGTGACACGCGGTCTGGTGCTGCAGGAACACGCCGCGCGCAAAGAGCGCAGAGCGGCGGAAGGAGCGCGGAGCTGCGGCCGCTGCACGCGCCCGATCTCTGGGATCCTTTCACATTATTTAAAGCTTATTCAGGAGATAATTATAACAATTAGTACACAACTGTTTAATTAAAGCACACGGAGATTTCCTCGTGTGCAGATTCTAAAGCGGTGGGTTGAATATTAAAAAATGGAAGCGATGTTTAAATTCTGGAGGAACTCGAGGAGGAAATAAAGCAAATTTAAACTGAGTCACAGCTTAAATTAAAAGCTTCTGCAGCTTTTTACACGCAGGTTAAAATAGAGCAAAGTCCGCAGTGAAACACACGCAGCCCGGCTGATATCTGACACACCGAACTCCACCTGGAAATCCATCCATTTAAACATGTTCTGCGTTTTAAAGCTCATAAAGCTTCAGACAGCCGAAGAAATATTTAACTCAAAACAACAACTGAATGCCAAACATACCCAAATTTAACAGTAAAATATTTGTGCAGTATAAAATAAAAATTAATCTCTTGAGAGTTTTTAAATTCTCCTTCTCCTTTGTCTCTAAACTCCGGGTTCACCTGTAAATTGTGACGTTATTAATGAGTTTCAGGTGAGCTGCAGTGAAATCTGATCGCTTGACTCAAATAAATCGATGCAGGTTTAAAATCAGCTGCTGAACATGATGGAGATCCTTCAGCTGCTCGGACGCACGGAGGCTTCAAACTTTACCGCCGCTTTTCTCTCCTTTTAAACGGGACCTCAAACTGAAGCTGATCCGGTTTCATCTGAAACCTTTTTTAAGTGAAAGCATCATTTAGTGTAAATCTCGTCGCTTCCCGCAGTTTCACGCATCACAACGATGCAGGCTGACATCTGAAACACCTGTTTCACACCTGAAGTCCTTTAAAATCAACAGCAACTGAAACTGAAACCAAACTTTATTGTCCAAATATGTTCAAACAGAAACAGACACAGTGACAGAGGTTAACAAAAAGCATTCAAATTAAATTTATATAAATAAATACACCTACAAATAACAAATAGATAATTTCCCTGATTACTGATTATTTGTTTGTTCTGTAAAAAGTAACAAATTACTATTTAGATGTTTTTGTTTTGTCTAATAAAGAAAATGTCTTTATAAGAAAATATACAAATATATTTTTCTTTTTTTTAATCTATTTTAAAAAATCTGTCAACTGATTAATCTACGAATCCTTTTCAGCTATAATCTGAATTTATGTTAAATTGTTGTATTGCAGTACAGATATATTATGTGTCTGTTTATAGCTTTATACAACCTGTACTGTGTTATACTTTAATATCTGTAAACCTGAACATTATTATAATCACAAACTTACATCTGAGGGATTTAAAATAAATTCAGAGTTAAAAAACACGAAGCTGCTGGAAGAGAAAGAAACTGAAGGTTGAATCATTCAGACGATGAACAACAATCTTTGAGTTTAAATGTGTTTGTAGGAGGCTGAATTTAATGTACGTGAACCAAACTTCATTCAAAAAAACACTCATTTTAATTTTGTGTGTAACTGAAGAAGTTTGAGGTGAAGAGAGTCAGACTGACTTTAAATGAATGTTTAAATAAATGAATGCAGGCGTTGGTAGAAACTCCTGCAGACGGTTGTTCGTGTTTCTGTCGTCACTCTGATGTGGTGTCGACACGAAGCTGCAGATTTCTGTGTTTAAACCAGATAAATGATGGAAGTCTCAGTGAGTGTGTGTGTGTGTGTGTGTGCTGCTTTCTGCTGGAAGACGTCTGCTTGTGTCAAATATCACAAATATACAGTTTATTCAACATTATCTCTCCAATAATGCAAAAAGAAAACCTTTAAACAGAGAGAGAACAGACAGTTTAAGATTAATATAAAGAATCAACAGTTTATTCTCTGTGTGGATGTATATTATATATTATATATTATAAATATTATATATATTATAAATAGAGGTCTGGAATATAGAAACATGATATCAGACTGAGGCTGCGTTCACAAACAAACACTCTATAAAATCTATAAAAACGTCTTAAAAGCTTCACGGCTGCAGCTGTTTGATATTTAATCCGTCAGATAATCTGCAGTCCGGTTATTGATCAGTGATTGTTACCTGATCAGGTTGAATGAGGGGGAACGTGTTTGAGTGGAGACTCTTTCTGAGCTCCTCTTTTATATTTTAAACCACCTGTGAGACACATTTATTACTATTTTTATCATAAAGACAACAAGTAAACATCAGTTAGACGTGGAAAACAGATAATTAACACATAAATAAAATAAAAAACAAATCCAAGAGGATGTTTTTCCTCCAAACTATCTTTTAATCCACTAATTTACATCATATTTCAGAATATTTCTTCATCTGTTTTCTATTGTTTTAATAAAATTCACGCAGCTTTAATCACATTTATAATAATAACTGAAAATCTTCATTTTCATCTGCAGATCCGTTCTGTAACAAACATTAAATGAGGAGGAAATGCTTCTGAAACCTGCACCCTGACTGATCTGTATCTGCATGTACGCTGATAACGATAATATCTGTGTGATATTTTACACTCTTCTTAAAGTTTATTAAGTTAAAATCTGTTCAACTGTGAGTTTTAATGGATGCAGCAGCTGCACCCTTTTACAGTAAAAGCCCGTTATTCATGATTTTACATTCAGAAACAGAGGAAACTAATAATAAAAGACCATCAAATGTAAAAGTAAGTTGTGCATTTGGGGCGTAAATATGATAAAAGTAGAGGATAAATTCAGTGTTAATGTTGCAACATGTCTCGTCCACAAACACTCACCCCTCTCTGCTCTCTCATTTACAAACCTTAAAACTCGACTTGAACGCCTCACATGGAGCTCAAAGTGTGTAACGTTCCTCGTGGATCAGTTAACGTTGACTGTGAGTGGATGAAAATTACTTTAAGATATTAAAAGGAAGATCAGACATGAAAGGTGTTTGTGCTGACTGAGGGTTTGTGCTTTGTGCCGCAGGAAGACGGCGGTTTGAATCCCGTGTGGGGAAATCTGTCGGTTTGCAGAAAGATTTAAGATTCATGTTTCTCTGGTTTTTTGGTTTTGTTGTACAAAGAAGTGTCACAGTTGTATTTCTGTGCTTTATTGCACACTCCCCACTCTCTGAATTAAGATATTTGTTGAATCCAGCTGGTGTTTCAGTCCCTGCAGACCTCCATCAGGAAGTTATTTCACTAAAATCACAAACGTTAGTGTTTCACTTTCAACCTGCAGACGACTCAGGACAAAAAAACAACATATCTGATGCAGAAATCTCTGATATTGAACATAAATCAGGAGCTAAAGCTAAAACAAACTGCTGTTACAACATCACACACATTTTATGAAGTACTTTATTTGTGGCAGTTATCACAAGGAGCATGATGGGAGAGAGAGCCTCCCTGTCGGACTCATCGGTTAACACCATAAACCTCTCGCCCAATTTAAACATATGTTTTCCCCCCACTTGTGAAGATAAGTTCAGGTTTTTCAAGATGAATTCCTCCTGGTAGCTCCTTACCGAGGCGGCTCGGGTTCGATTCCTGTCCATCTTCAGCCATCTTTGAATAAAAAGGGCAAAAAGCCCAAATATATTTATAAAGAGTGATTTGTTTCTCTTACAAAGTGAAAAATGTTTGAAAATCTGCTTCGTTTTTGCTCCTGAAAACCAGAAAAAGTCCAGGAAAGCTTCAGAATTCACCTGTGACTCTTTGTGTTGTTCTTCTAAAGACGCAGCGTCAGAGGTCAGATGTCACAGGTCAGATGTCAGCGCTGTTGTGATATTAACTCTACGCGGTCTAATTTTCCTCAAGTTTCTTCTCAATTTCAAATTAAACAGATTGAACTACGTTGTAAAATCATTGTTTTTTTTTTCAAATCATGTGATTCGTTGGAGATTCGGAGACTCCTCTTTTTTTCCTGCTTCCTGAAGAATAATATTTGTTCTCATGGTAAAAGTCTTCAGTCTGACATTAAATTGCTTCCATCTTTATAAACCGATGAAAATAAGTCTTTATCATTCTGTCCATAACAAAGTTGTATTTTATAAATACAGAAAAAGTTTCAAATATGAAACGTTGTTTTCTAGATGCTCGTTCAGCGAACTGAAGCCTTAATATTTCCTCTTTAATGACACTGACACTCATTTCTGGACAATCCTTAAAACAAGTGAATTTATAGTGAATTCTGGTTGGAGCGATTTAACTCACCGTAGCTGATTTGCTTTGTGTTGTTTGTTGCTCCTGAAA